GACCACACAGGAGAGAAAAATCAAAGCATATCCCAGGTGACAGCTGTCAGGATCTTCTGTAAGAGCGTGGCACAGTGCTGGAGTCTCCCAGGAATAACCAGGAACGGCTGATCTGGGGGCTGCATTATCATTAGATTGCTTGGATGATACTATTTTGGGGATCACATTTCATAACTAGGCCAGTGAGGTCTGGAAAACTCATTATATGTTCCAGTGGTTCCCAGACTGAACTGATCATCAGAATCACCTGTTTGCTTAACAATTCAGATCCAAAAGCAAGGCTGGTGAACCAGGATTTCTAGAAGACCAGGATTTTCTGTTAAACCAAGCTCTTAAGAGGAGTCTGGTGATCTAGCAAGTTTGGAAAGAACCAAATAATAGTTTGGTTCAAAAAAATAACAACATCTTTTCCCAGTCTCCAAGCTGACTTTCCTAGGCTTGGGATACCAACCTCGTTTGTTGATCTCAATATCTGCCCAGTGACTCCATGGTTGTATAAGGCTGTATTCAGGGAATCACATAAAACTAATCAACACTATGAGGTGACCTAAAAGGGCCTGGCATCACTTCACTAGAGAGTTTTTCAACCTGCACATTTTTGATGTTTGGGGCCAGATAATTCCTTGTTGTGGGGGCTGTCCTGTGCATCACAGCATGTTTGGTAGCCCCCTGGCCTCTACTATCTAGATGGCAAGAGTTTTGTGACAAGCAAAACTATGTCCAGACATTGGTCAGTGTCACCCAGGGGACAAACTCACCACCAAATGTTAACTACTAGGCTACCTTTAGCATGTGACAGCTAGAGAGGAGTTTAATAACCCTGGGTAGGAATCGGGAAGATAACTCAAAATGTTAAGCTGTAGATGTAAAGACCCATGCCTCCATTTTTTATGTGTACACAAATTATACATTCTATACTTGTATATAATTTCCAAAAGTTGAGTAAGGGGTCACCTCACATAATTACTTTTTTATTTGCATCTCATCTATCTGAGACGCAAATAAAAAAGCAGAACCAGAACCTAAAGCAAAGGATGAGGAAGGAGATAACGGGGGGCCGGTTATGGGGCTTCTTAACCCGCCCCGATATGAATGCCGCCCCTAAGCTTCCTTCAGACACACCATTTCTCAGAAATAAGTTTAGGAAGGAGGACGTGCTATAGACATGTTTTATGCAAAAAAGAAAGAACATATCATAAATAGATGGGAATTTAAATTTTTATTAGAATCATGATTTTTTATTCAATATATAATAGAGTACAATTAGCAACATAACATTCCAACATTCAAAACTAAAACTTTCAGAATCACCTCAATCAATATATAAAGCTTTAATTCCTGGAAAACTACTGTTTATTTCAATACTCTCCTGATTTGCAAAACATCTTCCCACAATAGGGAATTTATGAATGAAATTTTATAAAGCTCCCTGTGTACCAAAGAGACTGACGTGACATCCACTGCATCCTACTAAAACCCAAAACATAAAGGCGTAGAGGACCAGCACCAAGCCACGTGCTGCTGAAGGAATCAAAGATAAATCTTACAGATCTACCGCCACCGATTCAATACATTGGGCCAAAGAGTGCTGAATCTTGGCATCATAACAATACGCAGAGGAATGATTCTTAATGATTCTTAGCAACACAAAAATCAAAACCATCCCTACTACAAAGATACACGCATATAAATGCACAAGCAAGCATCCTTTGACATGAAAACCCAGAAAACATAATACGAGGTGTCTATTTTCCTATGTTAAGATTGAAGTGAACATGACTATGTATTTTATAGAATGATGCAATGAGACTGTCTTTTGATGAGGCACACGGGAACACAACTCCTGAGCCAGAAAAAGCTGTAAAACAAAGCCTACTCTCACTGATGCATACTTAGTTAAAAAGTTGTATTTACTGCTTAGTTTTCTGAAGAAAGCAGAGTAATGGTCCTCTCTTCAAAGTAGTGATAAAAATAATTGCACCTCAGATTACTCCCAATGTAACTTAAGATATCTGACATTTACATAAATATCATTGACTAGGTAATAGAAAAAAATTAGGTTCTTAAAAGTGCTATGCCTTACTAGAATTTGAACACAAAGAAAAGTGAGGAATACACTCATCTGCCTGTCTCACAGAAGCCTCTACAGAGAACACAAAAAGGAGCTGAAGCTTATCCAAGAGTGAGTCCACTTACTATAAGTGTCTTAAATTTACAATGTGCAGGAAAATAATGTGCCCAAGAGTACAGAGTGGTCCCTTGACCCACGGTAGCCTCTTGGCAGACTCAAAATAAGCACAGCCTTTATGTTGAGAAAACTTGCCAAGGGGTCATTGACAATATATTTTTATAGAAATGAGTATTCAATAGTTCACTAAAGTAAATTAGGGAAAGTAAGGCTGTTACAAAGATCTCCAGATTATATGGCAGCAAGCTTAAAAAAATAGCTCTATAAAAAAATTAAATGACAAAGAAAAATCATAGTTCTAGTTTTTTTTTTTTTAATGTCATAGGACAGCCAGAAATATCAAATGAAATAATTGAATAATGTCAAAACAAACACTCTTGGCATTATGTTGCCAGACTATTTAACATAAAAAGAAATTAAGGCTAAATATGACTTTTTGAAAAAGTAAGTACACCTAGGCTTAAAAGAATAAGAGCAGGAAGAGTTAGGCTAACAACACTTCCGAGAATTCCCATATATAAGGTGTGGTAATAGCTGTGTATTTGGATTCTTTATGAGCACACAGGGCTCCTTAGATTATAATATAACCAAAAGATTCTGGAAAACAAAGTGTAACAGAACAGCACAATAAAAGGAGGCTTTTGATTAACTGAGCAAATTGTCATGGGCTTTAATTTCTATGTTGGAACTATAACTAAAGGCAGGAAGAAGGGAAACCAAATACAAAAGCGTTACTCTCTCCTAGAATTGTCTGGCTACTAGATATTGCCAGCATTTCGTCTCTGGAACCATGGAAGTGAGATAAGCTGGTGTCTTAATAAGGTTCCCATCAGAGAAAAAGAAGGGGGACTTCAAATTAATTCACACCGGTAAATGAAAGTGACAGCATTCGAAACAAAAGAGCATCAGTATAACCAATCCGAAAGGGAAAATGAGGTTTTTAACATTATTACTCACAGCAAGTGAAGAAAACAGCCCAAACCCCGCTGCCTGCCGCAGAGCAAGTTCTCTGAGAGGGGCCGGAGGGGGGAAGAGCCAGGACCTGGCCACCGCCTTGGACCATGGGGCATGCGGCCTCGCCCTCTCTCCTCCTTCCCCCCTCCTCACTTTTAATGAATTTATAACAAAAAGATACGAGTTACAAGGTGACTTTTAACTTGAAAATATCCTTCACAAAAATGTATTTGAATTATAGTTTTCAAATGAACAGATATAATCTAAAAAACAGAATACGACCTGCCTTCCGGTGACCATTCCACGCTAGTGTATCCTAATGTGTTACAGTAGAAGTTTGCTATCGATGATGTACTAAAGAATATAAAATATTGCTGATCAGCATAGGGCCTCCCGGTAAAGAGGAGGAGGAGGAAATCCTTTGTGAAGACTTTCCAACTTCATGATAAGACGATTTCCCCTCTAAAGAAGTCCCGGAGTAGGAAGGCTGAGAACATTACCGCAGGGAGACCCAAACCTAACTGGTGCCTTGTTAGGACAATTGCGTCAAAGGTGCAACACATCTAAACACTACTTCCCACTTAAAAATAAATGCCAAAAAAAACTAGGTCTTTGCCCAAATATGTATCAAAAATGTTCATCACAAATACATGAACATCCATCCCACCAGAATTTCTTAAAATTCACTAAAATAAGAGCATCTTTTTAAAATTACCTTTAAAGATATATTTGCATACTTTAATCTTGATAAGTTTACTTTTAAATAGCTGAAAACATTATACAGCAAATTCTTTGGAGCCCAGGACAGCTACTTTTCCCAGGCCCACTTGAAAGACATGCCAAGGAATTAAGGAGCAAAATGAAAGCATTTCTTAGATTTAATAAAAGATCATTAATTTTCTTGTGTACCTAAATTATTTCAGTAGATTTAGAAGAGAAGGAAGAAAAGGGATGAAAAGAAAGAAAGAAGGAAGAGAGAAAGAGAAAAAAAAATGGGGAAGAAAGATTTCCCTTTAAAATTATCATCCAGGTAAATAGTATTACCCTTCAGAATACAAGGTAACCAATGATTAAAGTGCTTGGAATTCAGGAATCTTCTTAAAGACTGACAGCAAGCATCAGATACCACTAGACAGCTAGCACTCTGACCCTCAGAGCCCTGAGACTAGGACAGGTTCCTGGTCAACACCCTGTAATACTTTAGATCAGCAGTCACACCAAGAGTCTCTAATCCTGGCAAACCAACCCAGCTTCTTTCCCAGACAACAGGGAGGTCAGCCTAGGGGGACTTCTACCGTGTTCTGTCGTACCCTAGCTCACTGTGTCTCCTTGTCTAGGCTCCGACAGTCTGAGCCATGTAAGGCACACAGGGCAATGCCCTCCGACTCTTGTGCCTGAAATAGAGCCAGTGCCTGGGCCAGGGATGCGGGATGGAGGCTGCACACTGGGCCCCTCCTGGCAGTGGTCAGTACACTCCTTAACCTCTGAGCCAGTGTGCAAGGCTCAGGGAAACACCTTGCCACTCTCATCTTCTCTCCAGAAGTAAAAGAGAGGGAGGGTATGTGATCAGATTTGGAGTGAGAAAAAAGGCCATTTCACTTTTTAAAAAATTCACCACCTACATTTAAGAGAAGGAAGTAATGTCCAGTTAAGAAATACACACTGAGACCACCGGGGCTGGGGTAGGAGGTGGGCAGAAGGGTTGGGTGGGAAGTGGGCCAGGAACAGAACAAGACCCTCAGGCTGAATGTTCTCCCCCAGTTCCTGGGGACTCCATCTTCAATACTAAAGCAAACACTGATATATAATAATTCTTAAGAACTCATGTTCATTTCTTTTACAAAAAGAGAAGGATAACTATTCTAAAATAACACTTTTATTCTGGAGAAAACAAATACCTCAAAAAAAAAAATCCTAAAAGATGTGGAGAGGGGGAAATAGGGTTACCATCCTCACGCCTTCCACACCAAGCTGAGGGGAGGGCGTGTGCGCGGCTGTCCACCCCGGCCAGGCCTTCTTTACACCACGGCCCCCAAGCCCACAGAAAGAGCAAAAATTGCTTTTTCAAAACAGTCAGGAGCAGTATTTGATCATGAAGACAAAACAATCGCAGGTGACTTCGGGAAATGCTGGCGCTCCGTGGAGTCCTTGGAAAACAAATCAGGGCCAGTGCTGCACAGAGAACAGAAGCGCCAGACAGAGGGTGAAAAGGACGGAGGAGCCCTCCGAGGCCCCGTCCGCGCAGGGACTGCAGCCCTGGACGTCTCTGCAGAGGTCACAGGAGGACAGCTTGGCCTGGGCGTTGTAGCTTCTCACCGCGTGTCTCCCTGTGCAGAGACAGACATTGGTCATCCGTCAACCTTGGTTTAGAGACGTTCACTTTGCCAGAATACGAGAGCCTTTCAATGCGCTTTTCTGCGCTTTCTATTCTTCCCATAATTTTACATTTCTTTATGAGAATTGAAACGCTCAAGTGGGGGCCAAACTGCTAACCCAATCCAGGAGAGAAACAACGCGCGGGCCAGTCTCCCCGCCGGCCCGGCCAGCAGGAAGGGCAGCCCCAGACTGGCCGCAAGCCGGGCTGGAGGCTCCTGCTGCTGCAGCGGGAGGAGTCTGCAGCTGAGGACGGCTCGGTGTCCTCAAGGGTTTATCTTAGAGGCCGGGTGCGGGGCTCACACCTGTGATGCCCGCACTCTGGGAGGCCAAGGCCGTGGATTGCTTGAGCTGAGGAGTTTGAGACCTGCCTGAGCAAGAGCAAGACCCTGTCTCTACTAAACAAATGAAAAACTGGTGCAAGAGGGTCTCTTGAACCCGAGATTTTGAGGTTGCTGTGAACTATGATGCCACCGCACTCTACCCAAGGGGACGAAGTTAGACTCTGTCTCCAAAAAAAAAAAAAAAAAAGCATTTATCTTAGGACAACATTTTTGATGCAGTCAAACAAAATTCTAATCATTAGAACTACTAAAAGGTATTAACACTAGGCTTTATTTTTAAAAAGTACATAACTATGAAGGGAAGGCTGCCTACACAGGGTCTTGCCTTGGTGTTTTAAAACATTGAACACACAGTGCCTAAAGCTATTTACGTAACCTGGGTAAAATTTATAGCACATGCTGATATAATAAAATGCTTACAACTCTATAACAAACTCATTATAAAACATAAATGAGTTTTTATAATTTTTAAAGACATTCTCATTTCTTCACGATTTTTCAGAGATTGTTTTCCATATCACAAACGTGTTTTCAGATTTTTTTTCAGATTTTTTTAAAATGGGTCAATAGATTTTGATTATTCTGACTTTTCCCATACTTTCACTTTTTAAATGGCCCCTGATAAATAAGTTGTTTTCCACCAAAAAATTTTCATAAGCTGGGTCTTTTTTGTTTCATAAGGTTTTCTGGGTTTTTTTTTTTTTCCTTTGAGACAGAGTCTCACTATGTCGCCCTCCGTAGAGTGCTGTGGTGACACAGCTCACAGCAACCTCAAACTCAGGCTTAAGCGATTCTCTTGCATCAGCCTCCCAAGTAGCTGGGACCACAGGTGCCTACCACAACACCAGCTATTTTTTTGTTGCAGTTGTCATTGTTGCTTAGCTGGCCCAGGCTGGGGTTCGAACCTGCCAGCCTCGGTGTATGTGGCTGGCGGCGTAACCATTGTAATACTGGTGTTGAGCCCTGTTTCTTAAGTTTTTTAAATGTTCTCCATGCACCTAAAAAATATTAGTTGGGGAATTTTGCAACTAGATGTCTCAAAACGTCCCACAAGTCCCTGGGTGTATCCCCTTCCTCAATTCTAAAAAGAGACCAAAGATAAGAGATGCGGCTTGTTGACTTAAGAGCAGAGAAATCTGGTGCCACTCCTCAGTCCTAAAGACTCTATCAGGAACAACCAACAATGTAAGCAAGCTCGTTTTGTTTTAAAGTATAATTATCTACAACTACCTAACTCGTGCACATTTTCATGCTTCTCATGCATTCTGACAATTCTGAGCACCAAGGGTGAATATTCAAAATAAGACTTAACACAATTACACAACTTAGCCCAGAGATCACACATACACACACTCTGTGATCGAATATAGTTTAGTCTTATTTCTCCCGGGGGAGCTCCAGACAAGCCCACTATTTTTCACATCCTAAATTCCTATCATGTTATAAAATAAGAATTTACCAGAAAAATCAAAGAAGCTCAGTTACCAGTAAATCAAAGAAGCTCTGTTATTTTCCAAACAGACTATACTTCTCTGGTTAGACTAAAAAGAAAATTTGTCATCCAGTGTAAGTTTTAGCAAAATATCGGGCTCCATCCATGAAGACACAGGTAAACCCAGGTGAACGTCACCACACTGGGGGTGCTGCCCACACTCCGTCCTGACAAACCCCCACTGTAAAACAGGAATCAGACGGAGTGAGTGCTTGGAATAGAAGCATAACTTTGGGAAATGAACATACTGGACTCTGTGTCAATTTTCCTTTGTAAATTTTAAGCCAAAATCCAAACCATTACCAGCAAAAAATAAATAAATACATAAATTACTTTTTAACGTTCATTTGCAAAATGTTATGTGACCTTGCAAATTATCAATAGTCTGTGTTTAAATTGTGGGCTCACCTCCTGCATCCCCATCTCCTACACTTTCTCCTTCACAAAAAACTCTGACAGGTGGCCACTCCGAATGAATGAGTGAATGAACACCTGGATTAACTCAAGTATGACGTGAGGAACTCCGGAGCACACTTACTTGGCTCGTAGTAGTCCACTATGGATACCGAAGCATCTTGGGTATTCGAAACTTTAAAGCTTCTCACAGCAGGAATATCAACACAAAACTGGGTTTCATTTACCTTGAAAAACACAAAAGACTCTTTAAGGCGTTGGCACCCTATGTGTTCACAATAAACGGAGTAAAACATGTTACTTTGTCTTACCCTTTTAGGAAACAGATAACATTTAGGGAGACTGCTATGTGCTGGGTAGTGCTAGAAGGACTGCCTATGGGTTGATCGTCTGTAACTTGGAACGACCTCACAAGATAGGCATCGTTCTTTGTTCCATTTTGCTGACAAGGGACATTGAGAATCAGAGTGGTTACATGGGCAGAAAGCAGGCAGGGGCACATTCCCGGGACCAGGGTACCCCGCCCTGGTGGATTACCCTCAGCTCAGGGAGCTGTATCACCCGGTAAGTGGGGCCACCCTGAGATGCAGAGGGTGCTGGACAACCAGGGCCTGAAGTGCAGAGTGCACCGCCAGCTTCCTCCTCCTCCAGGAGGAACTCCTTTTGCCAATTTGGTAAGCAATACTGCTTAAGGGATCAAAAATCACTAAATTACTTCCAACCTCCCATTACTTGCCAATAGCAGTCAAATTCATCACTCAGACAGTATTGAGCACTCAGAGTAAGATAACCATTAACAGGAACATCAAACTCCCACACCAATGACATGCCAGACAAAAACCTTAAATTTGTTTCTCAAGTTCCAAATCAGGCCCACGGATGTCAAGCATTATTTAATATAAGAAAATTTCAGAAGAGCAAAAGAATCTAAAGACTGAATGAGTTTGAACAGGGCTTTAATCAGAGTGGTTTTTGAAGTGCCAAAAGAAATAGGAACATTCAGGAACCAGCTTTTTCAAAGTAGATATTTAGCAATGTATTTCTGATTCATACTTGGCAAAACTGGAATAAGAAACACATGTATTCCCCCATACAATATGACATCCTAAGAATGCTTAGAGCTCGGTATTGATTCAATGTATGAGGATCGTGCAGATGCTGCACAAAAAGGAGAATCTTCCAGCAGTTTCGAGACATAAAACAAGCAGAGTTGGGAACTCCTCCCTTTCCTTTCCCTCCCCTATTTTATGCCCCTTGTTCTTGGATCCGCAGCGAGCCCTCATGCAGCCATGGCCAGAGCACGTGAAGGTCGTATCATATTCTGTGGCAACACCAGACTCTGCGATTTGTTTATGATTTAAGCACCTAACTTTTCAAGGCAGAACTATCAATCCCTTTGAGATTTGTTAAAAGCTCCATGAAATCATTTTAAAATGTGTAATTAAAGGCTTTCATCTTCAGCATTTAAACAAATATATTTAGTCATTCCCTGAGGCAGGGGAATTCTCAAATTGATATCTGGACTGAATTTTCTGAAACTATAATATGAAAATTGCTATCCATTTTATAGCTGGATTGAGGTAATGCCAGCCAGATCTTCATCAGGCTCGCCATTAATAGAATCCTCTCTCACTAAGTTTACAGGGATGCCTTTCTAGCAGAGACAAATATATGGCTGCCATGTAAATCAGAGACACAAAAAGCTACAGTAGTAATGACTTAAAGAAAACACACTCACAGTAAGGCAGACATGCGAACACAATAAACGATAGTTTTGTGCAGAGTTACTTAAATGAAACTTATGCTTTGCTACTTACAGAATCTAAGTAGACGTTGAGTTTGCCATGGTCGTGCTCCACTTTCTTCACTGTCTGGCTTAGAGGAATGGCATCTGAAGGCACAGTGAAGCCACTGAGCAGGTTAACCTCCATGAGCGCCATGCCGCTCCTGTCGGGGCCTCGGAACCTAGACCAAAGAGGGGAGGAGGGGAAAAAACCACTTAGGAAGAAACTAAAGCTGTTAGCCAGCGATCTACACAGAAAAATTAAAACCACCAGATGTTAACTCCAAACATTAAGTTCAAATATTAATAAAATGCACCATGGACAAATTTAAAACAGGTCGTCTTTTTCTTACATGTGTGATATTCTTATAACTTTCAGCCATATGCAGAATAAGAACCTAACAATGTGTTCATCTGACAGACAGAACGGAATTCCTGCAGTAGGGCGGGCCTGTGCTCAGGTTGACAGCTTCAAATGATAAGTGTTTTTTCTTTCTCTCTTTCTTCTTTCTTTCTCCCTTCCTCTCTCCCTTTCTTCCTCCCTTCCTCCCTTCCTCCCTTCCTTCCTCCCTTCCTTCCTCCCTTCCTCCCTTTCTTTCTCCCTTCCTCATTCTCTTTCTTTCCTTTCCTTTCTCTCCTCCTTTCCTTCTTTCTTCCTTCCCTTCCTTCCTTCCCTTCCCTCCCTCCTTCCTTCCCTGTGTTCATAGGATGGTATCAGGTGCCACCTCCATCCTTGCAACTGATTACTGTTTTCTTCCTTTCTTTCCTTCTTTCTTTCCCAAACTGCATTTTTTCATTTTTCTCAAAAGTTGACAGCACCGAACTTCCCAGCTGAAAGCCAGGACCTAAAAAAGAAGATACCGCTTGACCACTTAAGGGGTAGACCCCACCCAGCCAAGGCCTTAGCACCCTTTTCTTCTTCTGGTTTAGAAGAATGAGAACAAGGGGGAAAGGCCTTCCTTTTGTTCTCCCGCATGCTTGGAGCACATTTGGCTGGCTCTGTTGGCCTCCCTGTGAGAATTACAAGCCTTGGAAAGTCTTATGACACCACATCCTCGCCCTGTGTAAACAACGTAAGCATCAAAGAATCAGGACGGCAATGACATTTTTATTTCTCTGAAAATAAATGCATTTTTTAAAAGTGAATTAAATGGCAAGAGCTTTTCATTTAGAGCATAAAGAGTCCAGAGTGACGATGGAGAGAAGTTTGCCTCCAACGCGAAAGGATCATAGCATTCACTGAGTTCCTGCTGTCCTTTCAGACGGCAAAAGCACAAAGGGCTGTTAGACTTTGGTTTTCGGAGCAGTGACCAGGGCCTGCCAAACATGGCTGATGATGGAAAAGCCATTCAGCGCAACTGCTGACTTCAGCTGGCCTGACAACCCGCAGCAACTAAAACCATCTGCTGGTGATGCGCGTTGCCAAGATAGATGCTATTGAAAACTAATAACTGGACTGAAACTAGAGATGTTTGTATATGAGCAAAAATTACAGATGAGAAAAACAGCCCAGATGCTTAAACACGCAGCAGTGCTATGCAGATGACACAGGAGTCCATCACCAAAGGGCCTTGGTTGACCTGGTCTCTCCACCAGCCAGGGGAGACTCTGCTAAACAGCCCTGCCACACAGAGCCTGGGCTGAGGTAATGTCTTGGAGCCTGTTGATAGGAATAACGTGCTGATGTTTATCAGGTAATCTTTTCATAATGTGGGGCTGAAAAATTCACTTACATTTGTGTTTCATATGAGAATTTTCCCAGAAAACTGGTAGCAGTATTTAAATTCTTTTTGCAAAACCCCTGCCCTCATGGGAAAACATCTCCTTTCATGAGGTTCCACGTGCCCCCCTGATTCCCAGTGCTGGATGGAGCCTGGAATCCTGCATCCTGCCGCGAGACCCTGTAAAGGAGGAGGCCTCGCCACGGCCTGCGGCCTGGGGCTGCTGCATCTCCTCATGTTTCCTCGCTTAACCTCCCAGAGCTTAATTCTCCACAAGATTCTTCTTCTTTGCCTTTCTCAAAACTAGAATTTTAGAGTTGCTGAGAGGATTTATTTTATTAATGTCTGTCTCCCCATCTCAGAGTCTTTTTTTTTTTTTTTTGGCCAGGGCTGAGTTTGAACCC